GCATTTACTAGAGCCATATCAATAACGTTTGTAAATAAGGGGAAATACCATCGCTTTGCTCTAATTTTAATTCTATATTTTTGGATATTCCAATCTAATTTGTCTACTCCCCCCATATATTTATTGTACTTAGCTATAACATTGGGCTGAGGCAAAAGTATTTCTTTTTTTTCCGTTCGCGACCATCTAGCGACTTTGGCTATTGGCAGGACCTCTTCATGATTTGACAGGAGTTTGACACAGCTATTGTCTTTCCACACTACCGCAAATATATTGTTTGTTTGGTCAAAACGGTAATCAAAAAATCCCCGCTTCTCTTTTTTTACCTCATTGTCAGATGTCAAAGGACAACGGCCCATTCGGTTACTGCGCACTGTTCCAGAAGCGCAGACCTTCTTATCAGATAGCTTTGTTCTTGTGGGAGAGAATGATATCCAGTCAATATGAGTATGCCTAGAAACTTTCTCAGACAATTTACAGAAAAAGTGAACTCATGCCTGTTGTTCTGGGCTGCATAAATCACACTTTGCCTAACAATATAGGTCATTAGTTCTTCATCAAAGAATAACTCAAAAACTTCGGCTGGTGATTTACCGCGAATTTCATCTTTAATTTTTTGCCGACGGATATCGCATGCCGATTGAGCTTCATTTGGATCAGCTAATACACTAAAATTGGCTTTTTCTACCTTTTTCCAGGCTGGAGGTTGACTGGTAGCAATTTTAGATCTCTTGGGCGCTTGGGCAGTTGTTTTCGATCTTACCCGTTTTGAAGTAGAACAGCTGGGCTGCGGCTGATCAGATTGGGGTATCTTTTTAACATCCGTGAGGCCGTGAAGCTCAATATCTCCTGGAAGGTCTAGGGGAACGGAATCACCTAAGACATCCTCATCTAGATCCTCAGAATCTGTCACGCAGTCTACGCGGTCTGGTGGAAGTTCAACGATGTCGATATGGGTATATTCACTTTCATCAATGTAGACATGATTTTCTGGATCATCTATGTAAGCCTCAAGCTCTTTCAAGGAGCGGAAAGGTTTGGAACTCATAATCTAAAAAAAAAGAAAAAAATATTACATGTGCCATGGTCCCCATTTGGGTATCGGAACACAAAAGGACCCTACAGCCACATTTTTATTATTTTTTGTGTGGCTGTATCTTTTTTGTATGCTTAAGACTCTAGTCTATCCACACTTTATAAACAAAAAACTCTTGTCAAAACTTATCTATCAAAAAATAATAATGAAAATATAGGTATGTAAAAAGGTCAACTTACCAGCCACAAATTTTCACAAAAAGCTAAATATTTCAATATTTACGCCACCAAAATATCGTAAACCAACAAAACCACACACGTGAATGTTCAAGGAACAAAACATAACCTAAACTAACAGAGTTTCATAATATGCGTAGTTGCCAAACGGTACAAAAAGCGAAATCCCCAAATGGGGATCATGGCAGCTAATGGGTTAATTTCAATTTATATTTAACATTTTCAACACTTTCTTTCATATAATTTTGAAAATACCTTTTAAATATTTCATTAATTTTATCTGAAGCTCCCTTGGCTTCATCATTTGGAAATTTAAAATTAGATGATTTCTCATATTTTTTTAACTCTATTAAGGTATTTTCTAAAGAATAATTATTAAAAGAGTTCCATACTGCATTTCTACATTGTTCAATTTTAACTTTTCAATTACCTAATATTTCTACTTACACATTTTTATCTTTTGCCATTCTAAAAAATGATTTGTGTTCCTTTTGCTGTTTATAATTGTTACAGCCGTACATAGCGCACACCGAACCCATTTTGTGTGACATTTTGTGTAAAAGTAGAAACAAAATTTAGCGAGATTAGCTAATAATACAAAAATTAGAAAAAGAAAATTTGTATGTTTATGTTGACAAAACGTAGTTATCAACTCAAGCCGTCGTGGCGCTAGAAGCAACGTGCTGCCAGTTTTGTGTCGGAGTTGGATGTATTATAGTCTATAGTATTTGCTGCCACTAACAGCGTTGGTGAAAACTGTCAAATCCCCTCTACTCATCGGCTCACAGCGAATAGGCATTTATCTGTATCTGTCTTTCTGAACTTATGAAGATACGCCCTAAAGGTCGATTCAGACACATCAGTCGCGTCATTGTCACGGCACCGAACCGGTCCTGTTTGGTCACAGAACTATCAACTATCTGACAGCTGGCAAACTGTTTGTCAACTGATGAGTGTGAATGCCGGCAACATATTTGTATTAAAGAATATTTTGTATGACGGATTGTTCGGTTCGGTGCCATCACTGTGACGAGACGTGACTGATGTGTCTGAATCGACCTTAAAACAGACAATCTACCCAGTCCCTTAGGCTCGGGATCAGCATGTTAGTCCACTGGACAACATCTTCCTTGTTGTTCCACTCTTCTTGTCATCTTTTCCTTGTCCTTCCCTTTCTTCTTTTTTTTATAGCTATTGTCAAATATTCTCTTCTCTCATAGATATGTCTGTTTTCTACTGCTAACACATGCAGAGGAACACAACCCGTGATAGTCCACAGGGCCGCCGTAGATACAGTCCTCATGCCACTAGCAACAGACTTGTTCTGTCTATTTTTGTCATAAGCCTAATATTAGGTATCTAAATATAACGAAAAATATTATTAATTTTTGTGTTCTACATATTTAAGGTGGTAATTTAATTATTCAATTAGCGTTTTGGATTTTTTGTATTGTGTGTGAAAGACAAGTTACATTTTCCTACTATTCTTTATATATTTTTTATTTTATATGCTCTGGGGGGATTTAACCCCCCTTGGGGACGCCATAGATTATGTCTATGGCGTACGGTAGCGTATATGGTTGCCGTAAATAAATTCAACCGGGTTAATTTTTTTATGCACACCAGATAAATTTCACTGAACAGCACTGGTTCCCTTTACAACGTGGTTGATTCTGCGCGAACGAGATGCGCGTACTTATCTTTACAAGCGGAATGGGCGTTCTGATTTTTATTTATTCTGTAGCTTTGGTATTTAGAGTCCAAGGCATTTTATATATCACAAAACTGTTAATTAAACATTATTCATGTAATATGAAAATGTATGCTAGTTTTGCTATAATTTAAATCACAAGTTAACAGATGGTTGAGTTTACCGAAGGTACAAGTTGAATATAGTCGCAAATGTCAAAAATATTTGGGTTTTGCAGTGTAGAAATGTTTTTAACATATCTCTGTGTTTTTATAATGCATATGTTGTATGCTTCAAATATAAAGAGAGAAAGCTTTGAAAAAGTAAATTTTGATTATACTATTTTATGAACTCTGCAATTTTTAATTTATATGAAGCAATAACGAGTAAATATTTATCTCTTTCGAGATTAATTGCAAACATCTATTGCAATCTGGCAACTGCCGATTTCACGATTGCCAAGTCTATCCCCTAATATATTAAAGGGTAATTGCCAAAAAAATTTTTAATAATTAACTGCAATTAATCTCCAAAGAAACAAATACTTATCATTCTTGTTTTATAAAAATCAAAAATTGCGGAATTTATAACATAACTTTTCTAAAGCTTTATCTTTTTATATTTGAAGCATATAGCACCCATGATACTATGAATAACAAGATAAGATCTTCCCGTAGCTCAAAATCGGTCGGGTTCGCGCATGCCGTCATTGGAGACTAGAATTTGAATTCTTGTTAAAGTTAAATGAGATTTGTATACATTCTGTGATGAAATTACTAAACGAAAATAAGTTAAGAGGTTTAATAATTACAATATCTCCAAACTATTTATTAAAGATTATTTATTGATATATACAAAAACTGACATTTCGAACGTGTAAGTCTCCAATGACGTCACAAAAACATGCGCAATATCTTATCTTATAGTCATAGTATCATGATAGCACCTACATTGTAAAAACATGCCAACACTGCTATTGGCGGGGGAATAGCGCTTTGAAATATGATCAGCTGATCACGCACGAAGGAAAACAAAACCAGAGCTACCATAATCTTTGAAGATGAATGATTGTTGTTCTTTATTTATACGTCCATGGTTGTGTCTAAAAATTATCTGTATTTATTATCTTCCATTAATTTTTTGTTAACGCAATCGCAAATAAAGAAATTAAACTTAGTCTGCCCCATATTTTGAAATATATAGGAGACACAAAAAGACCTTTAAAAGAAGGCGAGGCTTTGTTAAAAGATGGCCACTTGTGTTGTGCGGCAAACAGAATAACAAATTAGTCGATTTGTGTCTGCAAACGACTAGTTTAAGTGGTGCCCCACATGAAATCACTGTGGATGTGTTAAGAGACAGTGGGAGAGGCATTGAGAGGGAATAACACCTTTCTTTGAAAGTTTCTTTTTCCCTGCTACAGCTGTATAAGAAATTTTAATTAAGATCTATATTAGTTTATATATTTGTTTACGCTAGGTAGGCACATATATATAATAATTGTTGCAATTCTGTTCAGTAAATTTAAAAAAATTTGAAAAAAATCTGTTGATAAAAAATGTTGTGAACACACCATCATATCACTTGATATCGATTTCCCAAATTTGAATTCCTGTGCCCAACGATATTATAGATTTTTGTCACGAAAAAAGTGCATACTTAATTAAGGTCGATTCAAACACATCAGTCCCGGCGCCGAACCGGTCCTGTTTGGTCACAGAACTATTAAATATCTGACAGTTGGGAAACTGTTCGTCAACTGATGAATGTGAATGCCGGCGGCATATTTCTATAAAGAATATTTTGTATGGCGGATTGTTCGGTTCGGCGCCGGGACTGTGACGAGACGTGACTGATGTATTTGAATCGGCCTTAAAGCGCAAGCTGAATATAGCCGCAAATGTCAAACATGAAACAAAAAATTTTTTGTTTCATGTATGACATTTGCAGCTATAATCAGCTTGTACTTTCGGTAAACTCAACCGCAGAACGTATTAGATCAATGACGTTTACGTCAATTTTTATTCAGAGAGAGACGCGCGAAAATTCATTTTGTAAAAATTTTATAGGTTGGTTTGGTTGTATTTGAAAACATTTCACTTCAAAACCACGAAAATTTTAGAATACAGAAAATAAGATTATAATGGAATTAGAAAAGATTACTTCCTTGGAGACGTTAAAAACGTTTATATCGGAAAAAGATAATTCACAAAACATAGTTTATATTTCTGATATACCCGATGTTTGCAAAGAGTATCCCTGCATACTTGGAATTGACGAAGCTGGTAGAGGGCCAGTTTTGGGTAAGTTTATACGAAAATAGTAAATATGGATCATTCATGATCAATTATTTAAAAATATGTGAGAGAATCCTTTTAGTATTATATATGTCTGTTATATGCTCTCATATTTCTTTATATTAGCCTAAGGTTAATGTACTTATTGGCCATTTGGTGAACAACTTTAAACTAAACAATTTTTTCAGCTAATTGCTGTTATATACAAAAACTAATACAAACTAATACATTTTTCAAGTGTATATACCCTTGACAACACAAACACAAGAGTTTTTGGTAGTAATTTTGAATATCACCATAGAAATATAACATAGAAATACTTATTATTTCCACATTATTGAGAGTCAAATGTAAAACAATTAAGAAATAAGAGGGCATAAACTAAAATTAGTAATTGAAAGCTACTATCAGTTTTTTGTTTATTTAACCACTGCTTACTATAAAAGTGTTATGAATGGCATATGGCCAACTATATTATGGATTTGTTTGAAAAACAGTAAAACAATATTATTTATGAATAATGAGTTAACTTACCAAAAAATTACACTTCCCAAATTTGATTATCATGCTGAGAAGTTTGCTTTATTCTTCCTAAATTCACTGATGTCTGTAAAGTTAACATGCCAATTTTATAAGGCCAAATTCAGACCAACACTATAATTTATTGCTAATTTATGTCTGTAGCCATTTCCAAGAAACTGTGGGTATGCTAACTTATGGTAAAGTGACCATGGCCAAGCTATATCTCAGCAAGAAAAAGGGGTACAGGGCCCATCATGGCGGCAAAATATTGTTGACAATTTTGGAAACCAGGCTTAGAGGGTAGGCTATACCTTTTAAGAAAACTAAACAGACTAATGAAAATGGCAATGGACACAATCATATAGCGGAAGTCTACTCTAGTCTGGAGGGAACTGGAAGTGTTTCTTAGCAAAAATGATTGGCTTTTAACTGAGCACTAGTTATATCCTCTAGAAACAATTAGATTATTGTGTAATAGTTGGTTAATCTTCAATTAACAGAAAATAACTCAGTGTTTTTGCCCTTTTTTGTGGTAATTTACAAATCAGGAAAAAACTGTCCATTATCTGTAGGCAATAATCGCTAAAGCTCATTAGTGTACAGGACCGGCTTTCAAATTTTAATTTAGAAAATGAAGTGTATGGAATGCAAGAAAGATGGTACTGAAGAAGAAATGCTTTATTGTGATAGCTGTGACCAACCAGTTCACAAAGATACTTATTGTTCTGGTCTGTGTTTATCAGAAATTAGGGTTATGGAGTTAAAGAAGAATCGTGTTCTACAGTTTTTGTGCCAAGAGTGTAAATCTGGAATGAAACTTGTTTCAAAAACTGTTCAAATTAATTGAAAAACTGCAGAATGAGGTTAATGATATGAAATTGCAGAATTCTAAAAACCAAGAAGAGGATATTGTAAAGGTCGATTCAGACACATCAGTCCCGTCATAGTCTCGGCGCCGAACCGGTCCTGTTTGGTCACAGAACTATCAACTATCTGACAGCTGGCAAGCTGTGAAGTGCAGTTTTTGTCCTTGTTAAAACATATTGCAGTCTCGCATTTTTTACAAACAACATAAGTTTACCTAGTTCCTTGGCATAGCAACCTGGTAGTTTTCAGTGAAACCTTGTGTTATTCCATATGGGATAATGGTTTTCCTTGCCCACACTTGACCAGATGAGCAGGTATAAGGTTTATAGTGTAAGTTATTTAATATTATATTATATTTTATTAAACTAACAAATATATTTTAAATTACATTTCTTGATAGCTATAAAATATACAGGGTGGAACCTCCGGGAACTCGATTTCCGTGCACCCAGCCCAATATCCGAAAAGCCCATACTCTGATTGGACTGGTAAATGCATTTTATTGGTTATACAGTGTAAAATAATCGAGGTTACTCACAGATATTCAATTAATTATACTAAAGTCGTCCTCTACATCTGAGATGTCGGATTCGCTTTCGCTACTCTCCCCTGTGTTCACGTGTATTATCAATTGGTCTACGTCATCTTGCAGGTTGTCCGCAGTCCACACTCTCAGTTTCCGTTTTCTCAACAACATGAGTGACATAATTGCGCCAATTTTGCTCTGTGACGCGGTGAAGCCGTCGTCGATCAACTGGCGTACCTTGTCGTTTTTAAAAGGGAATTATGGGTACCTACATATCGCTTAACTTGATTCCACACCATTTCTATAGGATTCAATTCGCCAGTGATATGGAGGAAGCCTTAAAATATAAACATTATGTTGTGAAGCATACTCATCAAGATGATACTTAGCGTATTGATCTTTAAAAGCACGCGCTGCTTCTAATAGCTCGGATTTCAAATAACACTCCTCGAAAAAAGTCTTTTTCCACTAGCCATTCCTTGATTGCAGCTTTATTCCAGGAATTGGTAGGGAATCTCTCTTTACGGGAGTGGTACGATGCATTGTCCATTACAATGACATTCCTGCGACCATTATTTGGTAAATTTGATATTAATGTCTCCTTAAACCACGACTCAAAATATGCGGGCATCTATTTCATCGTGATAGTCGCCATCATTTTTCTTTGCCAGAAAAAACACGCTGTATGCCAGGAAGGTAACCTCCTGAAAAATCTGCATGCAATAAAACATATCGTGGACCTCGTTTAGTAGGTGCTTTTAAGCCAGTACTTAAACCTTTGAGAAAAGCATCACGACTGTTTTGTATCGTAGTATCGCACCATTCGTAATTTATAGATTGGCCAAACATTAACCCACGATTCGTTCCAAATATATGATATTGCAATGGCAGGGGCGGCTTGGTCCTATGAGGCAGGTGAGGCAGTGCCTCACCAGTATCAATCGACTTTTTACGTTCTTTAACTACAATTTAACTTTTTGGAATTTTCTAAATAACTTTATTTTCATTATGATAAAAAATTAAAATATGTACACCCCTGATGTCTTATCTTTGTAATATTTCTTCATAATCTACGGGCCGACAAGGGAACATGCTTAAACCACAAAATATTAAATAAACAACGGCTCCATTTTCCAATTTTCCGCGCCAGCTTCTAATATATCATCTGTGCATCTCATTCTCTCTTTAAAAATTATAGCCGCCGAGGCAAGCCTCACAGCATTGCTCTGTCTTACATATTAGACATCACAAATATCTAGCGAAATTCAACATGATTTATTTATTTTCTGCCCACGATTTCACCGAAAACGAGAGGCATGCCGCTCGGGTTTTATGTAGTTCTTTTAATTAGCAGCGTTGCCGTTTGGGTAACAAAGGTACCCAATTCGCTACATTTTTTCCCTGGGGTATAAAAGTACATTTTATAATAAAACATAGATTTTTATTTGAAAATTGGTAACAACATTGTTATGTTGTAGTAGAGTATTTTCCTTTAATAGATGTTACTATACATATTGGTCTATTGTTTTCCGATTTTAACAAAAAAATATTTTTTTTCTATGCATTACCAGATTGGCAACATTGGTACATTTTGGAACATTTCTGCAAAATTGTTGTAGTAAGATTAAGTAGTAGTTAAATTCATCTTCTGTTGACCTCTTTGTGCGGCAGGATCACGTTTTGACGTATCTCGTGTTTGTTTTTTCATTAAAAAAACAGTAAGATTACATGTTATATATAATAAGTGGAATTCTAATTAAGTTTTTTTAATAATTTTGGTGGGTTTGTTTTGTGTCTGCAGGATTTTCGGTTTTAGTGAAACAATGGATTTAGCACCGAGCACTTCGTCACAACTTTCCCAGGTAAATGTAAATATTCGTAATACTTGTGATCTCGTAAATTTTTTAGTCAATCAGCAGAATTTTTCAAGTCATTCATATGAAGATAAATTATATATAGTTTAAAGTCGTAAAACGACCTATTCCAGATTTAAGTAAACATCTTGTTTCTATCGGTGGCGTCGGAAAACCAAATCGGGGATTTCAAAATGCATTGGTACGAAAAGTTTGACTGCTTACGGGTAGTATAACATTAAATAAATTGTTTTGTGTATGGAATGGAAACGGCTCCATTTTCCATTTCCGCGCAGCTTCTAATATATCATCTGTGCATCTCATTCTCTCTTTTAAAAATTATTAGCCGCCGAGGCAAGCCTCACAGCATTGCTCTGTCTTACATATTAGACATCACAATATCTAGCGAAATTCAACATGATTTATTTATTTTCTGCCCACGATTTCACCGAAAACGAGAGGCATGCCGCTCGGGTTTTATGTAGTTCTTTTAATTAGCAGCGTTTGCCGTTTGGGTACAAAGGTACCCAATTCGCTACATTTTTTCCCTCGGGGTATAAAAGTACATTTTAAATAAAACATAGATTTTTATTTGAAAAATTGGTAACAACATTGTTATGTTGTAGTAGAGTATTTTCCTTTAATAGATGTTACTATACATATTGTTCTATTGTTTTTCCGATTTAACAAAAAATATTTTTTTTCTATTGCATTTACCAGATTGGCAACATTGGTACATTTTGGAACATTTCTGCAAAATTGTTGTAGTAAGATTAAGTAGTAGTTAAATTACTTCCTGTTGACCTCTTTGTTGCGGCAGGATCACGTTTGACGTATCCTCGTGTTGTTTTTCATTAAAAAAACAGTAAGATTACATGTTATATTAATAAGTGGAATTCTAATTAAGTTTTTTTAATAATTTTGGTGGGTTTTGTTTTTGTCTGCAGGATTTTCGGTTTTAGTGAAAAAATGGATTTAGCACCGAGCACTTCGTCACAACTTTCCAGGTAAATGTAAATATTCGTAATACTTGTGATCTCGTAAATTTTTTAGTCAATCCAGCAGAATTTTTCAAGTCATTCATATGAAGATAAATTATATATAGTTAAAGTCGTAAAACGACCTATTCCAGATTTAAGTAAACATCTTGTTTCTATCGGTGGCGTCGGAAAACCAAATCGGGGATTTCAAAATGCATGGTACGAAAAGTTTGACTGGCTTACGGGTAGTATAACATTAAATAAATTGTTTTGTTGGCCATGCATTTTATTTGCCACAGCTAATACTAGCGACAAAGTTTGGTTCAAAAGTGGTTATACTGATTTGAAAAATTTGTCTCGGAGTCTATTGTTACACAATAAAAGTTCTCAACATATTACATCCGAATTGCAAGCTTACTCTTATGAGAAAACAAAAGCAAAATATCGCCACAGCACTAGACAATTCGCGTAAAATAGATATTGAAAATTTCAATGCTAGGGTTAAAGAAAATCGGCAAATTTTAAAAAGCCTTATAGATATTACGTTACACCTCTGTATGCAAGAGTTACCGTTTAGGGGGCATGATGAATCTAATGAATCTTTAAATCGCGGGAATTTCAAAGAGCTAGTTGTTCTTGTTAGTAAAATTTGACACTAATTTAAAAACATTTTTAGAACATGATAATGACTCTAGATCAGTTTTTTCTGGGACATCTAAAACCATACAAAATGAATTAATCGATTCAATTGCTTTTGTTATAAATAAAAAAATTGAGGAAGAAATTTCAAAATCATTATTCTTTTCCTGGCAGGTGGATGAGACTACTGATATAAGCTGCCATTCACAACTATCCGTTATTTTTCGATACGTAATAAACGATAAACCAGTCGAACGATTCATGGGATTTTACGATGTAAGTTCCGGGCGTTTCTGCTCAAGATTTATTTGAATTTTTATCTACCAAATTTCGAAAGTTCAACTTGCATAGTAAATTAGTGGCTCAGACATACGATGGAGCTTCTGTAATGTCGGGAGAAGTGAATGGTCTACAGGCAAAAAATTAAATCTATAGCGCCTCAAGCCATGTTCATTCATTGCTATGCACATGTATTTAATTTAGTTTTAAGTAACGCATGCAGTTCAATTCAACAAGTTAAAGTTTTTTTCTCAACCTTATCCGGTTTTTCTTCATATTTTTCTAAATCTACAAAGCGTACCTAAGTGTTAGAACACATTGCAGGAAATCGTATACCTTCTAATGTAGCAACTCGCTGGAATTTTACTTCACGCGCAGTTCTCACAGTTAATAATAATAAGGATAAAATTACTTGAGACCTTTGATTTTATTATTAATAGTCGCGATTTTGATGACAAAACAATAAGAGAAGCAGTAGGTTTAAAAGCTTTTTTAGAAGATCTCAGAACATATTTTTTTTAGAAATATTTTCGTTGATTTTTCATCAAACTGATACTGTTTTTTCCATTCTACAAAATAGAAATACAGACATTGTTAAGGCCAGAAATTTACTTCAAAATACCCTAAGTAAAATACGTGAATTTAGGAGTAACAGTACTTATTTTGATACAATTTATGAAAAACTGGATACCGCTGCGTTACACTCGAAACGTCGTCGTAAGGGAGTTGAAATGACTGATAAAACTCAACAATTAAGGCAAATTTTTTTTGAAATTCTTGACATTATAGCAACCCAAATAGAGGTTAGGTTTTGCGACGTTGAAAAATTACATTTCTTTGATCTGTTGAATATATCAAAATTTCCCATTTTTGCTAAAGAATTTCCTCATGATCTATTAAAAAATTTGACAAACGCAGTATAATATTTTTGATATAAAATCAACTAAAAGTGAGTTATCCGCTATGTACGGGAATGATATAATAGAAAATTGCGCAAGCCCTTATGAAATGTTAACTTTTTTTCACGATTATGATTTAAAACTTTGTATGCCAGAAGTTTTTAAATTATTATGCATTTGTGTTGTTTTGCCAGTGACAAGTGCTTCTGCAGAAAGAAGTTTCTCCGCGCTAAAAGGATTAAAAATTACATCAGAAATACAACTGGACAGACACGATTGAGTAATATGGCAAAAATCTCAATTGAAAAATCATTTATAAAATCACAGGATGAGAACGTTTTTTATAGACGATGTAATAGATCATTTTGCAGAACAGAAGTCTCGCAGAATTCCTTTAATTTATAAAAAACTTTAATTTTAGAACTCAGTTTTCCTTTTAGAATTTATATTTTTTGAAGTTTTTCTAAAATAATTATAATTTTTAAAAATCGTGAAATAAAAAACCAAAAAACAAAATTTAACCCTTTGTTTAAGTTTATTTAACGTAAACGGCCTCACGTTATGATGTCACAAAATCGACCTTCCGACTAACATCTTACGACGAGAACGATCAATGGAGATATGCTAGACCGAAGCTTCAACTGAAGGGATATGTGAGAGCGTGAAGAAGATGGCACTAGATTAGCAGTCGCCATTTATAACACTTACTAACAAATCTCCCAGATAAAAAATACCTACTAACCCCCAAAAAAATATAAAAATCCCAAAAAAATTAATAAAAAATATAAAGATTCAAAAAAAATATAAAATAATAAAAAATTCACAAAAAAATTATAAAATAAAAAAAGGCCACGGGAGAGGCCACCTAGATCCTTGAGGCTACAACTTGGCCGCTAACCAAGGTGCAGGCTCGAGGATTAGAGCTCCCTCGTTTTTCGTTCGCTTTTATCTCACGATACGAGATTTCATGATAAACCGGATCAACCGCTTAACGACAACCTTGGGTATAATTTAAGTTACATTTATGAGCACCCTATTTCACATGGTGCTCATAAATACAGCTCAATCGCGGACTTTTTCAAAAAGCAGTCAGCCCTTATGTTGCAACCTTCAGTGCACATAAGGGAGGGTGGAGGAGGGCTTAGGAGAGCTTTGAGGTGAGGATGACTTTTGTTGATCCGCGCGCGTATCGTCAGAAGTCCTTCTCACGCCAAGTCATTGTTTGCTGGCGCGAGCAATGCCTCCTTAGCCGGGTATGACTGGAGCAAAGAGAAGCTAACCATAATAATAATAATTTTCCTTAAGTGTAGTGTGCTCTCACATCTTGTACTATCACGAGCCGCCCCTGTTGCAATGGTCTTTTCGCAAACGTCATATAGTTCTCAAATAATTATGGCGCCAATGAATAATATCCTCTCGCTCCACCATGATGCTTTTTCGGCCACGTTTCTTATAAACAAATCCAATATCTTTCAGAAGTCTGTATAAAGTAGAAAGAGACAACGGCTGTATATTCTCATTACCTTGTATGAAGTTATGTAAGTATATGCTTTAAGAATGGCAGCAAATTTTTCATGAAAAATTCACAATGAACAATTCTCCGTAAAATACTTCTTACACCCTCGTCATATGTGAATATTCTAAAATTTGATTGACACACTCGTTTTTTACGTTTTTTTTTTGGCGATTTCAACGTTCCACTCTGTTCTTTTTCTTTTATGAAATTGTAAATGCTTCTTTTGCTAACACCAGTCATCAACGAAGTACGTCTTACAGCAGCACTTACATTAAGTTGTTCTGTATTTTTTAAAAGACACAACACATTTAACACTACGAGTTTAGAGCAACCGTTAAATAATTCACCGGATTTAAACTTATGGGACTCCATGTTCTCTATTGAAACTCGGACTAAATTTTGAAGTGTAGTTTCGTTTTCCAAAAGCACTTTCACCCCCTACCTATCCTTAGGATGGGTAGGGGGTGAAATAGGGAAAGCTTGGAGTTTATCAAATACTAATTATGACAAACAAGTTTATGGCCATATTTAGGTGATTATGTTAATGATGGTAATTTGTAGCAGAAGTTTTACAAAAGAAATGAAGACCTATTTATAGAAACAACATAACTGTATTTTTAATATTTTACATACAATAGAAAAAATCTAATTTCTATGAAAGAATTGGAAATTTGAATATCATATATAATATCTATAAATAATATCATTTCCAAGTTTCCAAATTCTTTCCTAGAAATTATGTAGGTTTTTACTATTTTATGTAAAACATTAAAACTACAGTTATTGTATGTTGTTCTTGTAAAGAGGTGTTCAAATGTTACTCTTATGAATATGATTCAATTGCATATCTCATGTTGACGTTTTATATGCAAAATTCATAGTTTTCGTTGTCAATAACTCATCAATGCCTTTTTATTCTACTGTATACGTATACATGATATAAAATATTTTACTCGTACTGCCGGCAGATGTGAGACAATGAGCAATCAACAGCTGGAGAAAACCGACAACCCTGCGCGTTTATTCTCCATAAGAAAAGCATTGCCGTATCTTACCCGTACTGCACTCTCAGTGTGACATTTTCTATAGACTGTGGGAAAATATACAACAGAAAGTAATGGAACTCATTATAAATCTACATTATAAATTATATATAATTTCATTCATATTTTAGGTCCAATGGTATATGGAATTTGTTTTTGTCCAATAAATGAACAAATGATTCTTGAGAAATTAGAATGTGCAGATTCAAAAGCTCTTACTGAAGAAAAGAGGGACAATATTTTTAGTAATATATGCAAAGAGTCTAAAGTTGTAGGTTGGGCAGTAGAAATAATATCACCTAATTCAATTTGCAACAATATGTTGAGTAGGACGAAATATTCCCTTAATCAAGTTTCAATGGATTCAGCAGTAGGACTAGTTAAAGCAGCAGAAAAGGCTGGTGTAAAAATTGAACACATATTTGTAGATACTGTAGGTCCTCCTGAGAAGTATGAAGAATATTTAAAAAGGTTGTTTCCCAAATATAAGGTTAAAGTTTCAAAGAAAGCTGATTCTCTCTATCCCATTGTTTCTGCTGCTAGTATTTGTGCTAAAGTTACTAGAGATCACGCCCTTAAAGTTTGGACATTTCAAGAAGGACTTGATGTCACGCATGAACAATTTGGAAGTGGTTATCCAGGTGGTAAGTACATATTGTTTTGTTTTTAATAACTCAAATTTATCAAATATATGTACTTATAAAGTAATCCTCTAAGAAACAAGACATTTAATAGAATAAGATAGATAAGTGTTCATATGATTCCTGACATAAACCCAGATATACTGATGTAGGGATGACATACTCATCTTTATTATATTTAACATTGTACTGAATGCAATCATACAGGGGTTGGCATAAGTCCAGCAACAAATTTGCAATTAAGAGAAAAAATGCATCATCAAAATCAATTTATTCAAAGAAATTACAAAAGGGATTAGAAAAAGGGTTACTGTAAGTGTTCAAATTGGTGCCCATCTTGATCAATGCATTTACTGCAACGTTTCGCAATGGAGAGGCAGGTCCGGCAAAGCACATCAAGCTGTCCGCGAAGATTTTCAAATTCTTCTTTAATTGTAGTTCGGAGGTCGGGAAATGTGTGTGGTTCTCTTGCAAAAACGCGGTCCTTAAGAAGACCCCACTGGAAGAAATCACAGGGTGTCAGGTCACATGACGGTGCGGGCCACTCAACGATTCCTCCTCTTCCTATCCATTCTCCAAAGTGTGGAGAATCTCCAACTTGCTTGAAATAAAGGATGTTCGTGAGTGTTGGATCGTTGTCCATTTGCCCACGTAAATCTTCGAGCATTTCCAAATAACTTTGACAGAACGCGGCGCGTCGTCAACAGAGTCCGTTTTTAAGAATTTCTGGTACATCACACTGTTGAACGATTTGGTAGCGGCGAGTTCGGAAATTGTTGTTGAAATTCGGTAATCATAGTTTCGTAATCCGCGTTTGTACGAAGATATGACGTAACAAAAAAACTCTTTCTTGAAGCATGAACTTGTATCGGTTGTTCATTCTGTAAACGTGTCTCCTCGACGACCACGTGCTATCATGACACTGACACAACTGTCTAAAGCTCATACAAGGAAAGAGCGTGGACATATGTATAATCGATTGGAATTGACTGATGCCTAAACCCGCACCAGAGGGGTTTCCACGTCATATTTTATTTCTTCTTCAGTACATTGAGGATAATATATATTATATATACCTGGTGGTGAATCGCCAAACGGGCCATAGGAAATTCAATGGGAAATTCTAAATTGTTGAATTCCTGCTTCACTAATTATTTAACATCAAAAGTCAATAAGAAACTATTTGTAGAGGACTGAAAAATGTATTAAAAACAAATGTTAAAATTGTTCTACGAATTAAATGTATTCCAAAATTTTGTAAAAATATAATACATTTTTCAGGCCACCCCTTAAAGTCAGGCCCCGCGAGGTACAAGAATGTGTATGACATGTTGCGTTTGGTCATTTTGATGATTCTGATATTTGACAATATATATTTGAATTGTCAATATTTTTATTTTGAAATTAAATTATACACAAATACTAAAATACGCAAATTTTTACAAATACTACTACTACTGGTGTAGTGTTCTTTACAAAGCAATAAAATTGATGAAATGTATTCAGTTCATATGAACGGAATTTATTCCTTTTCAAAATTTTTAACGTCGTAGAATTATGAATATTAAACTGGTCTGTAATGGTCCGAGAACTTATTCTAGGATTTTCTACAACTGCTGTTAATACATTTATTTCATTTTCAATACGACTGAAATATGTATCGAAAACAAATGTTAAAATTCTTCTACGAATTAATTAAACGGTATTTAACGGTAATTAAAATTCCAAAATTTTGCAAGAATATAATACATTTTTCAGGCCACCCCTTAAAGTCAGGCCACACGCTGTGCAAGAATGCTGTCTGGTCATATTGATGTTTCTGATACTTGACAATATTCGAATTGCCAAAATTTTTATTTTGTGATTTATTGTTCAAAAAACAATTAAGTTGATTAAAAATCTATTCAGTTGAGGAGAAAGTTGCTACAATAAAAATGTTTTATTCAGGCAATAGTGCGAGAATTGTCATTCAACAATTCAAAGGATCTTACAAAATTTTGAAAATACTGGGACCGTGATTTCTAATTGTACCTGTACAAACAATATTGCTGAGGTAATATTGTTATTACCTAATTCCACGGTCTTAAAAATTTTAAAATGAATAATTTCCGTTCATATAAATTTCAATGTCATCAAGAACTCAGAGAAAGAGCTGTTGAGTGACGAGAGGAATTTTGTCAAGAAATTTTAGAGAAGATTAAAAAAACATTTTGTTTAGTGATGAATGTACATTTACATTAAATAATGAACCAAATATTCAAAATTATAGGATTTAGTCGACAGGAAAGCCTGAGGATATTATTGAAAGCCATACCCAATATCATGGAAAAATAAATGTCTGGTTAGGAATATTTGAACACAATATTATCGGACCATTTTTCTATGAGGAAAATTTAAAATCATTGATATTGATGGATGTGTAAATTTTCTATAGTTTAAATTAATTCTATAGATTTTGTATCAGATTCATCCAATGAAATAAATCACAGTATCATGTACATATTTATTTATTATTCATACACTGTATGGTTTGGTGTTTTCATATACCTACTAAAAAAAGGTAATCCCTATTAAATGTGTAAAAATGTGTGTGTGGTAGGTGAATCAAATCTAAAAATCATGCTTAAGTTTTGTTTTTGACTGGAAGTGTGTGGCACATTATGAATTTCCTGAAATCAAACAATCGTTTTTGTTACTTAGCCTCTTTATTCACCATACCTATCCTTTACAAACACTTTTAAAACTCGAGACTTTTTTTTAGGAACATTAAAAAATCATTGAATTAGTATATATATATTCTTCTTGATGTTCCTATCCGTTACGAATGTTGCCGATCATCATGGCAATCTTTATCTTATGTGCAGCAGCGCGGAAAAGCTGCACAAATGTTGTATTGAACCAGATTCTGAGGTTCTTCAACCAAGATGTTCTTCTTCTTCCTAGACTTCGCTTACCAAATATTTTTCCTTGCAGGATGGCTTGAAGGGCATATCTGGATTAATTTCGCATAATATGTCCCAAGAATTGTAACTTTCGAGATTTAATGGTGGTCAGTACCTCTCCTCGGTTCTTATTCATTCTTCTGAGGACCTCCTCATGTGTGACTCGGTCAGTCCACGGGATCTTAAGTATTCTCCGATATAGCCACATCTCAAATGCTTCCAGTTTTTTACACATATCTTTGTTCAAGGTCCACGATTCAACACCATAAAAAAGGACAGAGAAGACGTAGCATCGCAGTATTCTTACTTTTGTATCAAGCGAGAGGTTGTGACTCTTGAAGAAGGTCCCTATCAGATTGTAGGTGGATCTAGCTTTTGCGATGCGTGCTCTAATCTCCTGGTTGTTGGTCCGTTCTTCATTTATTATGATGCCGAGGTAGTTGTAGTGCATCACTCTTTCTACAGGAGATTGGTTGATATATAGTTGACCTTCTGCAATCCTTTTCTTGCTAATTATCATAAGCTTTGTCTTTGCATCATCTTGGTGTCCTGTACTCGATCAAACGTTTTCTCGTAATCAACCAGACATGCGTATACGTCGCAGTTAACGTCTCTGCATATCTGAAATAAGACTTGTACTGAGAACAAAGCCTCTCTAGTACCAACAGCATTTGTGAACCCGAACTGGTTGGGGAAAATTTGAATTTCACAGAGCTTGTAGATTCTCTTATGAATTATCTTTAGGAACAATTTAAGGAGACAACTCATGTGGCTTATAGTACGGTAATCTTCGCATTTTTTGGCTCCTGGTTTTTTTGGAAGTGCAATAAACTCAGATTTCTGCCATTTTGTTGGTATTTCTCCAGAGTTGTATATGTTGTTGAATATCTTTGCGATTATTGCTATTGATTCGTTGTCCATTAGTTTGAGTAGTTCTGCTTCTACATTATCAGGGCCTGCCGCTTTGCCATCCGGCCTTTGCCATGCGGAATAAAATTCCTGCTGTAATATTCTTGGTCCATCATTTAGCTCATCTTCTCGCTCAAAGGTGTGATCTCTTTGGTCTTCAAATAGTTTTTCTATATATTCTTTCCACGTTTTTATTTTACTCTGTTTGTCCAAGATGATGTTTCCGTCGGAATCAGTTACTCTTCCTTTCTGCTTTCGTTTTAGTCCTCCTGTGAGTTCTTTAACTTTCCTATGTACATTGTGACTATCGTACTTTGACTGCAGAGTCTCAATTTCTTCGCATCTTTCCCTTGTTTCTTTTTCTTTCGCTTCTCTGATTTTTGTTCTTATGAATTTATTTGTGGTTTTATATTTGTTTGGGTCATTTTAGGCTTCTCTTCTCTCGTCGATTAGTTTCAGGATGTGATCTGTCATCCATGATTTTTTCTTCATTAATCTATCTGTCTTTAAGTGTTTATCTTTTACATTTTGCACTATTTTTGTAATTTGTTTGATCGTTTGTTCTTCGTTCGATTCGTCTCTAATTGCAGTCACTGGCTTGTTTAATGGGGCTTGGACTCTCATCTTCGTATCATGGTCTTTCAGCATGTGTCGGTCGTATGATTGTGCTTTTCTTTTCTGTAAGATTTTGAATTTGACTCGAAATACTCCCACCAGTGGAACGTGGTCTGTCTCCAAGTCTGCTTCAGGATAAGTCTTGACAGATGTAAAGGCGTTTTAGGAATCTTTTATTTACTAAAATGTAGTCTATTTGATTCCTAATAATTCTCCCGGGTCTATATATCATCGAGCAAAAAGACAAAAGAGGGAATCGAATCCTTATGAAAAGGAGAACAAAAAAGTGGCCTCTGATGGCGGACATATTCGGAAATGCGAATGCGCCAAATTTAAATTTTCCGACACTTATTAACAGTAACTATATACCTACTGTTTTTCAGAATGTGTCTTAGACGAGAAAGTTTTAATTAATTATTAATAAACAATAACATAACCCAACTAAACTTAATGTCAAACAAGGAGTGAGATCCTCTTTCTTTGTTTAATGTGGCCTCTAAAGATCGCACTTCCTGTCTAACAATATTTTTGCCCCCACTACCTTTACATTCCCTCTTTTGTCTTTTTTCTCGATGCTATATATATATATTGTAGATTTGAGTTTCTTGAACCGTATTATATTTAATATAAAATTAATGTCGTTAATGTCTGTGTCACGTTTTACGTTTTGGTAAGTCATATATTATATATATATATATATATATATAAAATATGTATATATATATATATATATATATATATATATATATATATATATATATATATATACATATTTTTACAATATCTGTTTGTCCTTATATATTTTAGAATCTTGACAAAGGCAAGGGTTTCCTGCCGAAACGTTGATTGATTGCAATGGAAAATAAAATCTAGTTCCACATGTAATATCTTTATTGAACCTAAACCCAAGAAATATTAATTTTATATTATATTATATTATATATATATTATATATATATATATATATATATATATATATATATATATATATATATATATATATATATATATATATATATTTATATTTATTTATATCCTTTTCCATTTGTTTTCAAGTTCAGTCTTTTTAATATTTCAGTTCTGATTTCGATAGATTCTACCAATTTTGCATGTTTGTACGCCATATTTGGAAGTATCAGTGCTTTTGAATTTATTAATTAACTCATGTTTGTTCATTAAAAAATATATTTGTGTAGTGATATTCCCAGTGCTGTATTCTTCAAAACAAAATGCTGTAGTATGAGATTTTGATATGTTCCTATCTTACTATTATTTTAGTTACTTACGATTTCGTTTTTCCATTTAATATAATTCTATAACGTTACATAAGTATGTCTTATTTTTAGATCCGGTAACAAAAAAGTTTCTTGTAGACTACTGTGATCCAGTTTTTGGATTTCCACAATTAGTAAGGTTTAGTTGGTCTACTAGTCAGAATGCTCTTGAGGAGACTGCATATCACGTAGAATGGGAAGAAGTAGATGAAACAAACAAAAAATCCCCTCCTGTTAATAATACTTCGATTACGTCTTTCTTTAAAATGACAAAAGAAAAACCCACAGTGAAGACCAGGCATGAATTTTTTACACAAAGGTGCCTTGATAGAAAAGTTGAGTTTTGATATTTAATTATTTAGTGTTTAATAATTTTCAGTTTTTTGTATCAAAATAAAAAAATTACTCCTTTTAAAATCGGGTTTTATTATTATTCTTTGTAGAATGGAGATGTCATGAAGATATGTACACAATATGGTGGATATATGTAGATGATGAAGGTCTCCATTTGGCTTCACGGACCAGAAGCGTTGGATAAATTTCTGATGTACGTCAACAATAAAGAAGAATCCATCCAATTCACCATCGAACAAGAAAACAACAATTCACTTCCTTTTCTGGATGTGTTAATCACAAAAAAGACACAGGCTATGCAACAAAAGTTTACAGAAAACCAATACACACCAATAGATATTTAAATTACCATTCAAACCACAACGTAAACATCAAAAAAGGAATTATCAAATCATTATATGATAGAGACGGTAACAACTGCTCCAATGAAAATGCATTTGAGGAAGAAAAAAACCTGCTAACCAAGTTTTTAACAAAAAGTGACTACCCATTGTCATTTATAAACAAGGATTTCACGAGATTGAAGAAAGTAAACAACAAAACACCACAAGCAATGTACAAACACTCATAAGAAGGGATTTAAAGATAACAAAACAAGAAAGGATAACCATAACAGGAAAATGGAATGGCTTAGGAAATACAGTTAAGTCCATGGTTCTTTATCCGTACGTGATCATTTAAGCCGGAAATTTACTCCACGTAACAGCAAGTGACAGAAAGTGGCTACTGTTCATCAAAATTAACATTGTGTTTCTTCAACCAATTTATAATGTCTGATTTGAACCATTTAGCGGAAGGTTGTTTATTCATGATTAACACGGTAGGATGCTTTGCTTATGACAATCAAGGATGGAATTACACAACAATGGACAAGGAGGAATTCTAAATTAGGAAGTAATTGTGTACTTATCCATTTAGTAAATTTTGTACTATTAATTTCACCGTAATAATCTACAGTCAAGGATTTGGAACAAAATAACAAACTGGCGTCTGAAATAAAACCTTTTGCTGAACCGCTATGAACCACAATAAATCTTTTTCCATCATAAGCACCTGGTTTACATACAGTTCTGCTGTTGTCATCCTGCCACGATATAATTTTATTTCACCTAGAAAAAATTACGTTTCGTCTAAAAATACAACTTCTCTTAGATCTGTACATATGTTGCCCCCAAATTGGGTCAAAGTTACCCTAAACCATATTCTGCCGCCCAACAACAAAAAAAGAGTAAATAATATAACTAAAAAATATTTTACGCTCTATTTCATAGTCAACTATAACGCTAATAAATTTACCGAGTTACTAGAACTTTCCTAACAATTTGTGCCTATCAAAGTTTAACTGCGTACTATATTGATTAAAAATTGACGTGTTGGCTTCAAGGTTACCTCTCGACTGAAAAACAAGCGTGGAAATAGAAAAATGCTCTCTATCAACTGGATTTTACGCCATAGAGTTGTTGTTTTACTTTGTTGGCGCTATTTTGAAATTAATCTTTTTTCCATACTTGGGCAAAAGTTGTCCGCAAAGGTTGAATGTTTCCCAATTTGACGGTACTAGATTAAATTTAAAACGAGCTCTTGTGCTTCTGAGGTAAGACTTTTTTCAGGAATAATAAAACAAAATCAATAAAATATTTTCTTTTTATTTCTTTTCTATTGCAAAATAAAATACAATTAGGTAAAGGTAATGGATATTGACAAGAGCTGTGACCTTGTAAATAACAGGTAAACTTGTGTACTAAATCGGCATGACTCATAGCTCTTGTTAAAATCCATTACCTTTAGCATAAAATTTCGAACTTCAATATAAAAATTAGTTGTGAAAATAACTGTGTAATATAATTATATTCTAAATGGAAAAACAGGACAAAAAAACAGCAAAAAATCCAACAAACTGACAGCCACAAGTAAACAAACCAGAAACATCACAAATTGTACCCAATAACACACAAGAAAGATCAAAGAACTGTAAGGTAAAGTGCCCAAAATCCGCCTGTGCCCTGTCCTAATTGTGTCCCCCACTGTAACTTCTACGGACAGTAGGTACTGCAACCTTGCGAGAGAGTAAGGAAACTCTTCAAAACGATCCAGTGTACTAGTGGTAGTGACGTAGGATTCCTTGTTCTGTTCACTTACCCTTAAATTTTTCATAAATAATTTATGTGATAGCTTCCTACAGTTTGTAATCTACTTTAAATACTTAGGTACATTGACGCCTAAAGGTAAGTTTAAAGTAATTTATTGATCGATAATAATAGAATGCTCTTTGAGTATTATTAGTTGAGTATATTTCATTTGTCACAGCCGTGTAGTTGTAGCCGTTTTATATAACGGAATCACACGGAATTATTAAATTCGTCCCCTTTGAGGTTCTCAAATACGTCTCGGGACGGATTTAGGAATCTTTTTATATATGTTTCTTTTAATAAATTTTAATTTTCCCTGACTACTTAAATTATTTTTTATGGATATATAATCACTTTTCGATATGTTTTAATAGTTTTAACATACAGACACCTTAGTTTTGAACAGTAATGTTGTTATTAAACTTAAAGTCCTGTGAAAAAGATGAAAATTTTAAGAATTGTGTAAATTGATAAATCAAAGAAGGTCTAAATTTTTTCAGATGGCACAACGCAAAGCGTGGAATCCTGATGCCATGGTGAGAGCTATCACTGCTGTAAGAGATAAATAAATGGGATATAAAATAACTGCTAAGACCTTTGGTGTTCCGAGGGCTACTTTAAAAGACTATGTCAAATCTGACCGCACACCAGAGGAATGTGAAATCAAAATTTGGAAGGAAGCCTTTTTACAGTTCACCTCTAGAAAAGTCTTGTCAAACACTGTTTCGATATGGAGCAGCATTATTATGGACTGACTATTTCTGACCTGAGGCGATTGGCTTATTAGCTAGCCATTTTAAACCAAGTACCTCATCCCTTATCGAATGAATTAAAGGCTACTGGCAAAAAGTGGGTTAGACTGTTTTTCGAACGCCATCCAGAGCTTTCCCTCAGACGACCACAGTCCTTATCAATGGCTAGAGCTAAAGGATTCACAAAAGAAAATGTTGACAAGTATTTCTCTATCCTGAAGCCTGAACTCGAGAAAATAAACTTTGACCCCTCAAAAATATTTAATGTAGATGAAACAGGGATATCTGTAGTCCAGCACAAAACTACTTGAGTAGTAACCTGTAAAGGGAAAAAGCAAGTGCATAAACTTTCATCTGCTGAACGTGGATCCACAACCACAGTCATAACCTGTATGTGAGCAGCAGGCCAGTATATTCCAACCTTGTTAATATTTCCACTTAAAAGGTGACAGGAAGAATTGCTTGACGGAGCCCCTCCGGAGTCGATAGGCGGATGTTCAGATTCAGGTTGGGTAACTGGTCCATTGTTTCTTAAGTGGTTTAAATACTTCAGTTCCATTGTGAAACCATCACAAGATAATCCTGTTGTGTTTATCCTTGATAGTCACTATTCCCACACTAGAAATCTCGAACTTGCAATGTCAATTGCAAGAGAGTCAGCAGTATCTATAGTTTGCCTTCCTCCACACTGAACAGACAAGCTACAGCATTTGGATGTATCGTTTATGTTTCCTTTGAAAACTAGATACGCAAAAGCTATAGAACAACGGTTGGTTAGTAACCCAAATAGAGTTGTCAGGAAACTGCAAATATCCAGTTTCTTGTGAGGCGTATCTTCGTGCAGCTGCTTCGGCCGTCAATGGGTTTAGAAAGACTGGGATCCATCTATTTAATTCTGATGTCTTTCAGGAGCATGATTTTATTGGTAGACAACTTAAACACCAAGAGGTGCCTGGGACAACCAGAATGTTCTAGTCCCACTTCAAGCGGTCAGTCCACGAAACATCCAGAATGTTCTAGTCCCACCTCAAGTGGTCAGTCCACGAAACATCCAGAATGCTCCAGTTATCGAACCTTCCACATCTTCTACAGCCGGTACTTCATTCTTGTTAACTGGATCTCCTCACAAAAATTATCTCAAAATCTCTTTACAAAAGAAACAAATGGCAGAAGAGAAGAGGCAGTCAAAGGCTAAGAAATGCCTCACCATGGAAGATAAAGAAAATCCTGGCACATCATTGAACAAACGTCCCAAGAAGAAAACAACGAAGTGGGATTTAAATTCAAGTGACTCTGAGGACAAACGAAGTTCCACATTTTTCACAAGATAAGCGAGGATAAAAATGGATAAGGTGTTCGGAATGCTTCAAGTGGTGCCATGAGATGTGTTCAATTTAAACCAAGGTCAAAAATTGTGTTTGTGATTTTTGTCTGAAGGTGTAAGGTGATAGAACTTTTGTATCAAAATGTATAAACATGTTCCTATCTCAATAAATATATTATAACAGACGTTAGTACTGTTTAAATCATGTTTTACAAAAAATCATACATTTTATCTAGGAATGGGTGGGGGACGAAATTGGGATACCATTTTTAAAGAACCGAAATTTGCTTTATTTTGTTATTTATTTATTTTTACTTCAGGAAATTTTATTTAGTAGAATCGTACTAGTAAAACTCTTAGACATAGAGTTAAGTTACATAAACATAGAGTTAAGTTACATAAATCAGTTTTTTCCATTATTTTAACTCTAAATTAAATTTCAGATTTTAATATTTTGCTTAGGGGGACGGTATTTGGGCACTTTACCTTATCCATAAAATACCCCGTTGATGCTACAATTTTTATGTGGGAGAAACCTCAAGTGTTAGAATAAACTAGTATGAAATATACATCAAGAACAGAGACTTCGACAAATCTCAGATATGCAAACAAGTCTGGGATAACATGTACAGAGTACAATGGAAAGATGCATCATTAATCATGAAAGAAACATACATGGAAAAGAGAAAAATCAAAGAAGCAGTTCTCATCCTACTTAACGAAGAAAAATTTGTAACAATCTCATCAGTAGAATGTAGCACGCTTTGATTGCCAATACGTAAAGAAGAAGTCAATAACAAGAAAAAACCAACATAAGCGGATTAAAGGACCTCGAAGACATCATCTATATACACAATA